CCCCCACATGCCCAATCTTATGGCAAGATCTGTCCTTTCTCTCTTCACATCTCACATATAACTCTTTCTCTTAACTGACAAATCCAATGGCCTTTTTTCAATCCTCATTTTCCTTGATCTCTGCAACCTCTGACCCTGCTGATCACCCTCTTCTCCTTGATACTCTCTTCTCTCTAGGTTTTCAGGACCTCTCCTGGTTCTCTTACTATCCATCTGACTGTTCCTTTTCAGTCTCCTTTGTTGGATATCCACCTAGAATAGATCATGTCCTCTAACTGTGGGTGTTAATCAGAATTCTGGCCTGGGTCCTCTTCTCTTCTCCCTCTATATTACTTCACTTGGTAATCTCATCAGCTCCCATGGATTTAATCATCATCCCTACTCCTGATGTTTCTTCAATCTACTTATCCTGTCCTAACTTCTCTGCTGACCTCAATTTCAAATCTCCCACTGCCTTTCAGACAGCTCCAACTGGATGTCTAGTAGACATCTTAAAACTCAGTATGTCCAAAACTGAACTCATTATCTTTCCCCCTAAACTCTCCCCACCTCCTACTTTCCCTATTACTATTGAAGGCAATATCACCCCCCCAGCCCCAATGGCTCACAACCTTGGTGTCATCCTCAATTTATCTCTCCCCCGACAGCCAATCTGGTGCCAAGGTCTGTCGACTTCATCTTTGCAATATCTCTCCAATACACTCCTTTCTCTTCTCTGACAATGCCACCACTAGCACAGGCCCTCATCACCTCACACCTGGACTACTGCAATAGTCTGCTGATGGTCTGCCTGCTTAAAGTCTCTCCCCACTCCAATCCATCCTCCATTCAGCCACTACAGGTATTTTCCTAAAGCATAGGTACAGTCATGTCACACACACACACACACACTCTGTCTCTCTCCCCACCCCCCACCCCTCCTCTGCCAACTCAATATAGTGGCTCTCTATGCATTCCAAGCCTTTCATAACAACCTCCCCTCCTACCTTTCCAATCTTCTTACACCTTAGTCCCCAGCATGTACTCTTTGATCCAGTGACACACTGGGCTCCTTGATGTTTAACAAACAAGACATGCCCTTGGATCTGAGCAATTTTCTGTCTCTTCCCATGCCAGGAATGCTCTTCCTCCTCAATTCTGCCTGGCTTCCCTGACTTCCAAGTGCCAACTAAAATTCCATCTTCTACCCTTTCCCAATCCCTTAATTCTAGTGCCTTCCCTCTATTAATTAGTTGCTATATATCCTGTCTATAGCTTGCTTTGCATGTATTTGGTTGCATGCTGTCTCCCCCATTAGATTGTGAGCTCCTTGAGGGCAGAGACTGTCCTTTGCCTCTTCTCCAGCACACGATACAGTGGCTAGTACATAGCACATTAATAAATGTCGACTGAAGGCTGTCTACTCACATAGCCACTACTGTGATGCAGGCACTCATTACCTCAGGCCTTAGACTAACGAATAGCCTGATGGTTGGTCTCCCTTCCTCAGCTCTTCCTATTTCAGTCCAACCTCAATTCAGCTGCCAAAGTGACATACCTATAGCATAGATTTGATCATGGTATTTTCCTGCTCAATGAATTCCAATCCCTCCCTATTATCTCCAGGATCAAATATTGCATCCTCTGTTGACATTTCAAGCCTTTCAGAACCCGGCCCCTTCTTAGCTTTGCAGTTGCTTTTCCTGGAACATAAGCTCCATTTCTCTCAATTCCCACCTGTTCAGAAGTTATTACCCATGTCTGATTTCTGGCTTCCTTCAAATCTTACTCCCTGCAAGAGGCTCTTCTGAATTCCCCCCACCCCTCGCCTCTAAGGTTACCCTCCCTTTTGTCCTATAAATACCTTATGCATGTGCATAATTCTTCCCATGTTGCAATCCGTTAGAATGTGTGCTACTTGAGGGCAGGGATATATCTTTTGTATCCTCACTATTTAAGCACAGTGCCTGGCCCATATTAAGTGTATAATAAATGCTTGTGAACTGTCTTGTTGACTAATTCCCTCTTCATATTATCTATGAAAAAAATTTGCTCAACTAATAATTTAAACAAAATTTAAAGAATGTTTAATCCATATAACACAACAAACTCCTCTAAAAAGTTCAATATGATGTGACATGAAATCCAAAAATGGAAATCATAAAACCTGGACTTAAAAGTCAAGAAATATAAATTCCAATCCCACCTTATTAACTTTGAGATGAGGAGCTGGTTACTTACCTTCTCAGAACTCTTTCCTTATCTGTAAAATGGGCATACTGCTGCTATGTGCGAGGTCATTCTGAGGAAAGCTCCATGCAAAACCTCAAAGCATTGTATAAATGAACCCATAGTTTAAAAGTCAACACAATCACCGGCAGCAACGAGAAAGACCAGAACTGGTGAGGATCACTGGACTTGCTGTACTCAGACCACACCCTGAGCACTGCCTTCAGTTCTGGGCACTGCATGTAAGCAGGCTTGTAGAGGATTAGACTGGTGAATGCCATAGGAGGATCATTTGAAAGGACTGAAGAATTCAGCCTGTGGAAGAAAAGATTTAAAGGGGACCTCATAGCTGCTGTCATGTGGATGAGAGACTAGACTTATTCCATTTGGGCCATGACAGTGGAACTATGAGCAAAGGGTCTAAGTTGCAGAGGAGCAGATTTAGCCTAGATTTAAGGAAAAAGGATCCCCTCAGAGCTCAAGTGAAAGCCTTGGGAAGTAGTGGGTTCCCTCAGTAGAGGTCTTCATGAAATAGCTTTAGGACCATCTGATAAACTTACTCAACCAGTTCTGAATTCAGCTACTGTCACCTCATCTGTTCATCTCGGCCACAAGTATGTATTTCATGAAAGCCTTTGTCAGATGCTTAGCTGAAATCCACTTATGTTAGATCCATTGCAGTCCCTTGACTTACAGAATTGTTTAAAAAAGAAACAAGCTTACAGAATCTGTTTAAAGAGGCCTGAGACCAGCCCATTCAATCCATACCTGAGTAAAAATCCCTTCCAAAACATGCTTTGTATCCATACTCTATGACCCAGAGAATCCACTTGCTACTCGCGTAACATTTAAGTATTTTGAACGTTTATTCTTTAATCTTCTTAGAAGGAATGGATTGCTAGGTAGGGGGGCAGGGAATGGTATATTCAGCAGTGGAAGAGATATAAAAAACAAATGTTACCAAGGAAAAGAAGCTTTTGAAGGGAGGTGAATGTTTAGCCTGGAGATTTAACAGGTTAGGGAGGAAAACCAAGGAAGGTTATATAGTTGTCTTCAAGTAGCTGAAGCACCGTCATGTAGAAGAAAAATTAAATTTGTTAAAGGGCATTAATAGGTGCAATGAAGTGGAAGAAGCAGATTTCAAATCAATGTAAAGAAAGGCTTCCTAATCACAATGGCTTTCTGAAAGTAGAATGGACTACTTCAGAAAGTAGCGAGTTCTCTTTTCATCGCAGGTTTTGAAGTGAAGTCAGATGTTGTCAGGGTTGTTAGAAAAGATTCTTACTTCATCAGGAAGAGGTTGAACTACAGAACATGTGAGGTTGTTTTCAACTTTCTAAGTCTATGATTCTATGAAATGGTTCTGCTCTATTCCTCTTTGCTTCCAAAGTGTATTCACTTTACTGGAGAGTTGAGTATGGGTGCAAGGGAATCCCATAAACAAGCTAACAAGGTTCTAATGAAACCAAAGATTTTATCTGAGTTTTACACACCAGTCACTTAGAACTAGAACATGTAGGCTCTCAGCTGAATGGTCAAGTTGGCTTGAGTTTGCCATCTCGTCTGAGGGTCCAAAATTGGTGAATTTTCCGTTTTATACTTGGAGTACAGTTTAGCCCAATGTCTTCTGTGGAAGCATTTTCAGACTTCAGAAATTAACCTAATCACCTCTATGTAAGGTACAGTTGAAATTGTTTTTTTACATAGTCATAAGACTGTGCTTCCAGCAAAATAACCAAGTCACAGGAGGAACTGAGAAACTATCCAGGTCTTTTACCTAGCTATCCTGCTCAGAAGCCTTCCTTATTTAACCATTATACTGTGACAACCAAGTTTCATCTTTATGATCGATGAAAAGCTGAGAGGAATAGTTTTAGCTTTGAACTAGAGGGTAAAAGTAGCTATCAAGGCTGCTAAAACTGTCATCCTCTCAGTCTTAAACTTGTTTTAAATATAGTTCACACCTTTCTTGAATGATTAAAATGAGTGTTTGGGCTTAAACAACCTGCTGAACTAGAGGTTTCAGAGTAAAAGAACATAATGGAGAGTGAATAATTTCCACCAAGGCCTTTATCACCTGTATCGTGAGGAGATTCTCCCACAGATGAGATCAAATAAAATTCTCAGACTGTTCATCTGGAAAGAATGCCAGTTCCTGGAGGCTGATTTATCTTCTACTAAGGCACTGTAATCACCCCTTTCTTCCCTCCCATCCCCCGTATATACACTACAAGTCCCCGTAAGCCTAACTGACCCCAGACCAGCTAGGGTACATGTAATACAATATAAATGTAGAGTCTGAAGATTACAATACTACAAAGAATACTGGAGGTAGGAATAGATGAAAAAAACAAAAAACAAAAAACTTGAGATACTAATGTACCTAGTGTACTTGGCCACTTAGCAACCAATTACATTAGTGAAGCTGGTGGCAGAGTTATGAAGATTTATGGAGAAGCCAGAAGGTGCTGATTGAGATGGGAGGCTCAGGGAAACAAAGCAAGGTGCTGAGTACTTGAGAAAGAGTAGAAGCTAAGCAAATAATTTCGGTGGTTAGAATCCAAAGGACACCTGAGAAAGTATGATCAGATTGCTTCAAGGAGAACAATTTTGAACTGAATCTGTAGAGTGGGCCTGAAAACCTGAAAGACAAGGATCTGGATTTCCTAGAAACAAAAGGAGCTGATAGAGATATCCTAAGTCTTGGACCAAAGAGCAGAAGTAATTTGGACCATTCTTCCATCCCCAAAACTGTAATGATCCTAAGGGTAAAAGATAGAGGTGAGATTAGCTGTCTAGAAAGGCAAAGAAAAAGGCAATTTATTAGAGAGTTTTAAACTGGCAAAATGAACAACATGAATCTATGTAACTACAATTTACCTCATCTGTGTAGTTTCCCCTACTGAAAGTTCTAATTTAATCCTAACTCTGATGTGAAAGCCACCTTAGCTTCTCAAAGGCTACATGAGCAGAACAAGCTCTGACAGTGTCTACCCAAGATGAAAAGGCTTTAAACACAGGCCTAGAATCCTACTTTTCTCTCTCATTTGAGAAAGAAGTTGGCTAGGTTTGGAGAAGCTCATCACCAGAAGGTCAGGAGACAAGGCCAGACGAACTCACGTTGGAACTATCTACCCCAACGAAATCATTTATCTTTTGGAATATTAATGGATACAACTTCAATATTCTCAAACTAGTAAAAAGCATCAATATGCACTTTAAATTGGTTGACTACAGTTTTAGTACAGAAGTGGACAAAGCAGGAAAAAAGTAAAAGGGGAGACATTCTGAATCCTAGAGGGTCAGTTAAAAAGAGAAATTCCTTGGGCAAAGAGTGTGGGGAATAGCACTGGAAAGTAATTAAAGACAAATAGTAGAGGAAACCAGAATTGTTTGGATCGTAGTATGTTAGCTGGATAGTACCTTGAAGCATCCAAAGACTTGTCAATATGTGATGGATGAGAGTGGGACTCCCCACTTTTTAAACAATACCATGGGTACTTGGAATGTTATTGCTCTTTCACATTCAATGATGATATTTTATTCTTTTCTAATGGTAAAAGACTGTGTTTAGAGGAGGGGAAAGATTACATAAGAAATCACTACTTTCTAGAAGCCCCTGTTCCCAAGTTCTGCCCAGTAATCTGGAATGACATTAATTTTTCCTGTCCTATTTGCACATCACCTTGGAAATACACACAAACAAGTCTTCCAAATCACTCTGCCCAAATGGCCTCTAAAGATGCTCAGAATTGCTTTAAGTTGTAGTACTTCTTCTAGGTTAAGGCTTTTCTGGCCTAGGGCACAGGGTCAGTAAATGTGAAAGTCTGGGCAGGCACAGGCTAAAAGGTAAACTTACTTAGGCTACTGCTACCTTGTAGTTTTTGTTTTCTCTTTCATTGTTTCTATAGGACTAAAATCACTAAAGTCATTAAGACATAAGATGATGCAATTCTAAGAACCTACCTAAAAACTACCTAGGCTTTTATTCCAGATCAAGGGAGAAATCTAGAGTCTGGTGTTACAACTATAAAGAGCAATCCTACTACTTCAAGAAAACAAAGCTGGCCCATTGATTGTTCAACTCATTAAATTTCCAATTTTTTTTTCTGGTATCATACCCGCATTGTGCTATATTCACTGGGCAAGAACCCTAAAGACAAGGCTCCCCTTTGAAATGAGGATTACAGCCCTAGAAAGAGGTTTGGACAGCACCACCCTCCCACTACTATGTTATCTAGCTGCTCTTAGTAAATCCCTAATACTATCATCATGCTTTGGTTGCCATAGGGTTTTTAAAATAATAGATCCTGAAGCATATTCAGAGAGGACAGAGATCATTGCACTTAAAAAACCCCAGAAACAAGGAAGGTTTTTTGGGTGGATGGCATGCCTCATTAAACCAGACTAGGGCAAATAAGACTGAGGTCTCAGATACTCCAATGATAAGAAGAAAGCCTAGAATCTGTATGTGTGGCCAGAGTTGAGCGTCTGCTGATGCAAACTGGCATGAATTCCAATCTCAAGGATCACTGACTGTTCCTTTTAATATAATAGTATTATGATGGTCAATGGATGACTTCCTTTGTCTTAAAAAAGCTAGAACCCAGAGTTTGACTAAGAGATCACAGGATCACTAGGCTGATAGGATAAGAAATGACAACGGAACATGCATATTAAATCTTTTCTTGAACAAGGTGAGCAATATAAAGAGTAATCAAGTCCCTCTTAATTACCTTAGTTCAAAAAAGCACAGGCCCAAATTCCTGTCATTTCAAACCACATACATATCCATTTCTAAATGGTGAATGTGAGAAAACATTCTCTCCAAATGCCCCATTCTACCATACAAAACATACACAGGAGGTGAATTTTACAAAATAGGCGGGTCTTCTATGATATGTTGGGGTTTTTTTTTTTTTCCAGGGAAATAACACAGCAATACAAATACTTCCCCAAATTAGTTATTTTGGAAACCTATCCCAAGAGCAAGGAGAGCCAACTCTCATGAGGAGCCAAGACATGTTCTTCTGGTACAAACATTTCCTCATTCTTAAAGCTAAATCCTCCCTGTCTCCAAGCTCCAGTGTTATACATGGGATCGTTTTCCACAAACAAAAACTGAATCAAGTTCTCAAATCTCCAAAGTTAATGATATTCGTGTAGGTTTTAGGTGAGTTTTTTGGTATGCAGAACACATCCGAAAAGCAAAATGTCTGTATCTGTCCAAAAATTGACAAAAGTCCGTTTTCTTCATTCACATGAATTCATCTGAATCATTGCCATCCTGTGAAAAGAATAGTGAAACCATTATAGTGGTCTTGAAAATGAAGACTTCCAAATTTTTTAATTCACACTTTAATTTTTTTTTAACCATCCACATACCCCTCTCCTCCTTCCCTGGTTGTTCATAAGCAATTCAATAATCATCCCTCTTTATCAACTCCAAATTACTCCAACTGGGCTAGTAGCTATTTTCTAGGGTGGCAAAAGAGGTCAGATGACTGCAAGTGAACTTGTGTGCTCCAAATTATCAAAGGCATTACCTAGTTCAGCACTAGACAAAGTGTACTGTGATTTTTTTAAATCAAACACACCAGAATTTTTTCCAAATAAGTGTCATGCCCTTTCAAAGTAGTTACTCTGATAAAGCCATACGTTCTTATTCCAAATATTATGACAGCTAGGTAGAATAGGGGATTTGGAGTCAGGAAGGCCTTAGTTCAAATCCTGCCTCAGACATTTATTAGCTGCGAAACCATGGGCATGTAACTTCATCTAAGCCTCAGTTTCCTCATGTGTAAAATGAGGATAACAACAGCACCTAGCTCACAGGATTGTTGTAAGGCTCAAAGGAAATAAAATGTAAAATGCTTTATAAACTTTAAAATACTGTATAAATGCTAACTATTATTACTGTTACAGTGTTATTTTTCAAAAATATTTCTAGAATTCCTCTTTGGAAACTCCCTTTTAAGGCCTGTGTTATATGCTTTTGAATATCACCCTAACTGCATATTTTTGCCCTGTGTGGGGGAGTGGGGCTTTGATTTCTCTGAAATATCCAAATCATTAGTAACCAAGTCTGATAAATATGGAAGATGATTCAATTTGGGGAATACCATTTTTTGGTTAAAAAATGAGATGTCTCTGCAGAACAGTAATACTGATTTTCTTGTGTGTGGCTCACAAATGAGCTCCAAAGGAAATTCCCAAAGCAAAGTTTCAAAAACAGTTTGAGCAAATGAAAGTATCACTGGGATAATGCTTGACTCTTCCAAGCTGACAATTTTGGAGGTAATAATGCACACTGTGGTTGTAATTTCTAGTCTGTCAGAAACTCAGTGCCATTTACTTTATGTACATGGTTCTTGCTGCCCTTCCTGTCTTAAAGCCCTGCTCTTCAAGCTTTTTCACTATAGGGCTACGCAGGAAAGAGAAAGAGATTCCATGCTAAAAACTCAATCATTTTGTGGCTTCTTAGTAGTTTGGACAGAGAGGAATGAAGGTCAAGAACACTGAGAAGTCTGGTGTTCACCTGTGGATTTTAGTCTATGGTCCGCTACAATCAGTACAGTTAGTTAAACCACAGGAAAAATCTATCACGTGTCAACTCTGGACATATAAATATAAAAGGCAGAATAATACAGGTATTTGTTTGACATCTAGACACTGTGAGAGACTGTACTTTTTTCTGGAGAAACTATGAGAAGAAAATTGATTTTCTATTATTCATTCAGGTACCAAACTGAAATAAAAGTGTCACCAAAGTTGAAGACAACCTTAAATGGAGGGCCTACAGAATCTTTTACAGGCCAACTTCAAACAAACTGATGGACTAAAATTTTTTAATTCAAGAGATTTAACTGATGACAGTGAAAATTCCTTAGAGGCTAGATCCTACAATTGGGGCTTAGTGGTGCTTTTAATTACTATTGGTCTATGTCTAAATGCTTCTGTTGAGCTCAGTAAATGTTTTAACATAGCAATCAGATTTGTTGCTGTTATTTTTGCCATATATTTATAAGATAAGGCATGGAGGAGTTGAGGGTAGGAAAGGCACAATAATTCCTTGTGCCTTACAATTTGAGATGTTAATTAATTTGGTTCAGTTCTTTCTTGGAAACTCGAACCAGATCCAAACCTGGTATAAAAGATCAAGCCTGGCGACCCCTGCAAAAGGAGGAAGCACAAGAGAAGCACGAGGATGGAAAGCAGGGAGGACAAGGAGAGGAAGGGAAGAGAGGAAAGAGGATCACAAGGGATAAAACCCCATGCTCTATAAATTACATTTCTCAGCATGGTGGTTTTAAACATCGTCACTAATCAGATGGGATATTAAAAGTTCCAGATTAATTCTGGCACAATGTCCAAAAGTTTTTATTCACTAATGCTTGGCATGAAAATGTTTGAGGTCACAACACAAGCTGGGATCCAGATTCTGATGAAATTCAGCCAGAAACATTCTTCATACAACAAATAACAGGGAGCTTTTATAAACAACGTTGATTTTGGACTTGGGATTTTCAGCAGGATAGCTTCAAGAACTCCAAGCACAGGGTCCCCAAGTGATAAATATGTATTACTTGTTGACATGGATCCTTTGTATGAAAGCAGCACCAGGGGCATGCATAGACCCTTAACTAGGGGTTCTAACGTAACTCTCTACTTTGGGTTTGAAACTAACTTTCTTATCCAAATGGGTGTGAGTGCTTCATAACAGCACAAATGAGACTATTGGCCTTACTAATCTTTCAGAAGTAGAATAAGTTATTAACAGGGTCTTAAATACTTTTTATAAATGGTTCTAATATTTTACCCAACAGTCAAAGGCATACAAATAAAACTACTAAAACATATGCCATAGTTCTACAAATGCTAGTTTTCTAGGAGCATTAATTCCAATGTTTTGCAAAGGATATAAACTGTTAAGCAACCCCACTTAAAAAAGTTTCAAAAGAAATCCTGGGAAAAGCAATTCTTATGAGATTCTTCAAGTCTTTGACAAAAGTTACAGGCGCTGTATTTTACAGAATGTTTCCCTCATAGTATGTGAGATGATTAAATAATGCACATATTATGATCTTCACCTCAAAAAGAAACTGAGGTTCGGAGGAGACAGTAACCTGCCCCAAATAAGAGTGCTAATTAGTCACAGAATTGGGATTCAAAACCAGTTCTGCTGACTGTAGGTTCATTTCTTTTTCTATCTAGCAGTTGTGTTCCTTCTCCAAAAGGCATGGTTAGCACAGTTAGAGTACACAGCATGCTTTCTTTTTTGTTCTGGCTGGAATTTATGACCCCAAGAGTTAAAAAAAACCTCCTTTGGGTAGCAAATGAATGTGAACACTAATACTGCTACTGAATTTTTTTAGTTCAGATGAAAATTTTGTTTCTGAATTTACTTCTAGGAAGAATATACTACCACATGGGTATAGAAAAAATTAAAAAGACAAATAATAAACATTCTTGTGTGACCAAGGCAGAGAAGGGCAGGGGGAAAATAAACAGAAAAGGCCCTAAAAGATCACTTACAATGGACATCCATAATAATTTCATTTTTAAAAGTCCAATAAGGAGGAGCAAAGATTAAAACTGAGGCTTAAAGATAACAGAATCCAGCCCCAGTGTAAAACAGATGCCAACTAGTCTGTAAGAGGAATATAATCAGGGATATCACCAATAAGCATTCAATTATTCCTAAACAAATTATTTTAAACCAAGCTCACTTAAAGGTACGATATTAAAGCAAACAACCTGGAATATACCTGATTTGAAGACATATTCTCAGACTTCATTAGTGAAGAATAACTCCTAGAAGAGAAAAGATATTTTAAGTAGTGTTAGGGTTTTTCTGGAGGAGGTGATATATTTATTTTTTCAACTAGTATGTATTTTCTATTTTAGCACTAGCCTAGACAAAAACTATAAGTAAAAATGAGTTTAAAAAATGTTGTTCTCACATATACTATTGTATTATCACATACAATACTGTCACATATTACTACTGCATAATCAAAGACAGTATTTCTAAGGCATTGGAAAATACTGAAACGATAAAAGAACTGCTTACATTTCCACGGCAAGTGGAAAGAGAAGGAGAAGACTAAAGATACTCTAAAGCAATTGGGAAGACAAACACCCACCCAACTAAAAATTCCTCAACATTGCAGGTGGTAGGTACAAAAAGAAGTATAAGATATGTTTCCTAGCCCGTAGTTGGGGAAACAGGACTCATACACATATTAAAAAATAAATAAATAATAATTAAGTACTAAAATATGCGTTACAGAAATTCAAAGAATGGATATATCAGTGGTGTGGAATGGTCAAGGAAGAAATGGGACTTGGGTCAAATTTAACAGAGAGGATTTTAGCCCGACAGAACACATCCTAACCAGAGAAGAAACCCTCTGCTCCAAGGGAGGCAATTTGGTGCAGAGAATTCAATTCAATTCAACCAGTAGAGTGTCAACGGTATGTCACTAGCACAATGCTAGGTGCTGGAAAGATCATTGGCTTTAGAATCAATAAAGCCGAGAGAGAGAGAAAGAAAGAGAGAGAGAGAGAGACAGAGAGAGAGACAGAGAGAGAGAGAGAGAGAGAGAGAGAGAGAGAGAGACCATTGATTCCTGTGGGATCTCTATGATCTCTAATGATGGATTTTGGAGGTGAAATTTCAGAAACCCTGGAGTAAAACTCCAGGCCTATGCAAATTTGTAATATAAGCAGCTTGCTTTTCATTTTAAGTATATAAGCTTAACATGCTATTTTCAAAGCTGCACTGTTACATAATAATCTTTGTTCTGTTCTATGTGTTTTTTAAATGCTTAAGTGTCCTCTTCTTTTTTTTTAAATTTAGTTAACCCCACTGACGCTTTACCTCTCTTCTGCCCAATTTTCTCCCCACCTCCTGAAAGAAATACAAAACCTGTGTTTCAGAAAAGTATATTCAAGTAAAATTATATCTTCACATTGGCCATGTCCAAAATGTATGTCTCTTCTGCATCTTGAGTCCATCATGTCTGAATCAGGAGGTGGATAACAGCATGTTTTATGAGCAGTCCTCTGGAATCATGGCTAGTCATTACACTGATCAGAGTTATTCAGTCTTTCAAAGTTGTTTTTCTTTACCATGTTGTTTTTGTATAAATGGTTCTGCTGGTTCTGCTTACTTCATTCTGCATCTCTTGATGCAAGTATTTCCGGGTTTCTCTGAAACTAACTCTCTTTTGATTTCTTAGGACACAACATCATTCCATTATGTTCATATGTCATAATTTGTTCAGCCATTCATTCCCCAATTGGTGGGCACTTCTCACCCTTAGTTTCCAGTTCTTTGATATTACACAAAGAGCTATGATAAATATTTTTGTACTCATGGGCCCTTTTCCTTTTTTTTTTTTTTTTTAACTTTTTTGGGTAAAAGTCTAGTAGTGGTTTCACTGAATCAAAGGGAACAGACATAGTGTAGTGACATTGGCGGTACTGTTCCAAATTACTTTCCAGAATGACTAAATGAATTCACAGATCTACCAAACAGTATACTAATGTGCCAAACAGACAGTTTTCAAAAGAAGAAAGGCAAACTATCAGTACTCCTATAACAAAATGCTCCAAATCACTAAAGAGAAATGCAAACTAAATTAAGATTCTACCTCACATCCATGAGATTGGCAAAAATGACAAAAGAGAAAAATGGCAGTTGTTACAGGGGTTTTGAGAGGATCAGCACGTTAATGCACTATTGTTAGAGTTGTAAATTAATCAAACTATTCTGGGAAAGCATTTTATTAACTATATCCCAAAAAGCCACTAAACTGTGCATGCACCTTGACCCAACATTACCACTACATTAGACTATCCCAAAGAGGAGACAGCAGGAAATGACCAATCTGTACAAAAATATTTACAGCAGCACTTTTTGTGATTGCAACAAACTGAAAACAAAGTGCAGCACACAACAGTTTGGGAATGACTAAACAAATTCCAGTATGTGAATGCAATAGAATATTATTGAACTGTAAGAAATGACAAAAAGGAAGCATTTCCAATAATATCAAGGGTGAAACAAGGATGTCCATTATCACCACTGTTGTTCAATATCTTACTGAAAACATTAGCTTTAGAAATAAGAAAAAGAAATTGAAGGTATTAGAATAGGCAAATAAGAAACAAAGCTATCACTCTTTGCAGATGACATGATGATATACTTAGAGAATCCTAGAGAATCAAGTAAAAAACTACTTGAAATAATAAACAACTTTAGCAAAGTTGCAGGCTATAAAATGAACCCACATAAATCATCAGCATTTCTATATATTACCAACAAAGCCTTACGACAAGAGATAGGAAGAGAAATTCCATTTAAACTTACTGTAGACATTATAAAATATTTAGGAGTCTACCTCCTGAAACAAACCCAGGAACTGTATGAACACAATTACAAAACACTTTTCACACAAATAAAGTAGATCTAAATAACTGGAAAAACATCAGGTGCTCATGGGTAGGCCGAGCTAATATAATAAAAATGACAAGACTACCTAAGCTAATTTACTTATTCAGTGTCATACTAATCAAACTACCAAAAAATTATTTTATAGAGTTAGAAAAAATAATAACAAGATTCATTTGGAAGAACAAAAGGTCCAGAATATCAAGGGAACTAATGAAAAGAAATGCAGGGGAAGGTGGCCTAGCCATTCCAGATCTTAAATTGTATTATAAAGCAGCAATCATCAAAACTGCTTGGTACTGGCTAAGAAACAGAGTGGTAGATCAGTGGAATAGGTTAAGTATGCAAGACACAGTAGTCAATGACTATAGTAATCTATTATTTGATAAACCCCAAGACCCCAGCTTCTGGGATAAGAACCCACTCTTTGAAAAAAACTGCTGGGAAAACTGGAGGAGAGTATGGCGGAAACCAGGCATTGATCAAAATCTTACACCATATACCAAAATAAAGTCAAAATGGGTTCATGATTTAGATATAACAGCTGATGCTATAAGCAAACGGGGAGAGCAAGGAATAGTTTACCTATCAGATTTATGGAGAACAGAAGAATTCATGACCAAACAAGAGATACAGAACATTATGAATAGCAAAATGGATAACTCTGATTACATTAAGTTGAAAAGTTTTTGCACAAACAAAGCCAATGCAACCAAGATTAGAAGGAAGGTAGAAAATTGGGAAAGAATTTTTACAACCAGTGTCTCTGATATGGGCCTCATTTCTAAAATATATAGAGAACTAAGTCAAATTTATAAGAATACAAGTCATTCCCCAACTGATAAATAGTCAAAGGATATGAACAGGCAGTTCTCAGATGAAGAAATTAAAGCCATCTATAGTCATATGAAAAAATACTCTAAATCATTATTGATTAGAGAAATGCAAATCAAAACAACTCTGAGGTACCACATCACACCTATCTGATTGGCCAAGATGACAAAACAAGAAAACGATAAATGTTGGAGAAGATGTGGGAAAATTAGAGCACTAATGCATTGTTGGTGGAGTTGTGAAATGATCCAACCATTTTGGAGAGCAATCTGGAACTATGCCCAAAGGGCTATCAAAATATGCATACTCTTTGACCCAGCAATAGCACTCCGAGGGCTGTATCCCAGAGAGATCATACAAATGAGAAAAGGACCCACATGTACAAAAATATTTATAGCAGCTCTTTTTGTGGCAGCAAAGAATTGGAAACTGAGAGGATGCCCATCAGCTGGGGAATGGCTGAACAAGTTATGGTATACGAATGTAATGGAATACTACTGTGCTATAAGAAATGATGAACAGGCTGATTTCAGAAAAACCTGGAAAAATTTGTATGGTCTGATGCTGAGTGAAGTGAGCAGAACCAAGAGAATGTTGTACACAATAACAGCCACATTGTGCAATGACTAACATTGATAAACTTAACCCTTCCCAGCAATACAAGGATCTAAGGCATCTCCAAAGGCCTCGTGATGGAAAATGCTATATACATCCAAAGAAAGAACTATGGAATTTGAATGCAGATTGAAGCATACTGTTTGCTATTTTTTTTCTCTTCTGTTGAGTTTTGTTTCCTCTTTATGGTGGTTCCTCCTATTGGTTCTAATTCTTACTCAGAACACCATTAATGTGAAAATGTTTAATAGGAATGTATATGTTTAGCCGATATCAGATTGTGAGCCATCTTGGGGAGCATGGTGGGGAGGAAGGGGGAGAAAAATTTAAACTCAAAAGCATATGGAAGTGATGGTTGATAAATCAAAAGAAATAAAAAAAAAAACACACAACTCTTTCCTTAAAAAAAAAAGACAAAAAGTATGGATTCAGAGAAACTTAGGAAGATATCTATAAACTGATACAGAGTGAAGAGAACTCAGAGTGATTTATACAACTAAAATAATGCAAAGCAAAGCAACTCTGAAAGATGTAAGAATTATGATCGTGAATAACTAATCACAAGTTCAGAAGACTGATGAAGCATACTTCCTACCTCTTTGGTTTTTTTGTTTTTCGCTTTTTGCTGAGGCAACTGAGGTTAAGTGACTTGCCCAGCGTCATAGAGCCAGTACCTGTCAAGTGTCTAAGGTTGGATTTGAAGGCAGGTCCTCCTGACTCCAAGGCAGGAGCTCTATCCACTGCGCCACCTAGCTGCCCCTCTTCCCACCTCTTTGGCAGAGAAGTAACAGATTAGAAATGCAAAATGAGATAAACATTTTCAAAGATGACTAATGTGTGAATTTGTTTTGTTTGACTATACATAGAATAAGGAGGAGCTTCTAGGGGATGGAAAGCAGTTAGGGCAGAAGGTAGTAGGTACTCAGTAAGAGATCCAAAAGAAAAAAGAAAGAAAAGATCATCAATGACAAATTATCATATACTATCCTCTTTTCATCTCTGTAAATTGAAATGTTCATGTTTGTTGATATTTGTGGTCATAATCAAAATGTACTTTTAGAAGAAAGGTAATTCTGGACATTTTGATTATATGGAATTGAAATGTTTCTGCACAAACAAAATTAATGAATCTATGATAAAAAGAGACAGTCAAATAGGGAAAAAAATCTTTGTATCAAAATCTTCAGATAAGGGTTTTGTATCTAAGATATATAAACCACTAACATATATAAGACTAAAAACCACTCCCCTATGGATAAGTGGCCAAAAGATAAAAATAAATATTTCCCAAAAGAACTGCAAACTATTAACAATCACATGAAACAATTCTCCAAATCATTAATAAGAGAAATGCAAATTAAAACAACTCTGAGGTTTCACCTCACACCCAGCAAATTGGCAACAATGACCAAAATATGAGAATAGTCAATGCACTAGTGTAGACTGTTGGTGGAACTGTCAATCAATACAACTACTGTGAAGAGCAATCTGGAATTATGCAAATAAAATCACTAAAACGTCCATACTCTTTAATCCAGAGAGTCTACTACTAGGCATACACCCTAAGGAAGTCATTTATTTATAAGAAATGTCCGTATGCGCCAAAATATTTATAGCAGCACTTTTTTGTGGTATCAAAGAACTAGAAACAAAACTGATGCCCACTAACTGGGGAGTGACTAAACAAATCGTAGTACATGAATGTAATGGATTATTACTGTGCTATAAGAAACAACAAATATGACAAATACAAAGAAGCACAGAAAGACTTGTATGAAATGATGCTGAGTGAAGTAAGCAGAGACATTAGAAAATACCATAAAAAACTGAATTAAAAATTACAAAAAACAAGCATGGCCCAAAATAAAGAGATCTGAGAAGACACTCTCACTCCTTTGCAGACATGAGAGGTACACAGGCATAGAACACTGCATATATTTTCAGTTTTTCAGTGTATTGATCAGTTTTGCAAATTACCTTTTCTCTTCTTTTTATTTAAAACAAATAGTCTTTGTTATAAGATGGCTTCCTGGGTGGGAGGAGTGAGGGATTAAAATAAATCAATTAAAAATTACTTCAAAAAAAAAAAGAAAGCTAAGAAACACTTGGATAACATGGCTAGGTAGTGGAGACCCAAAATTCCTGGAAAGAGTAACAACATAAATGGTCCTTTGGGAAGATCAGTGAAGATCAGTCTAGTAGTGGTGTGCAAATAGGACTGGAGAAGGTAGAGAACAAGGCAGTGAAATTAGTTAGGAGACTACTGTTAAGAGTCCAGAGTGAGGACCTGAACTAAAATGCTGAAAGTGAAAATGACAAGAGATGCATCTAAGAAATACCTAAAAAGAAAAAGAATTAACAATTAATCATACATTGGGTTTAGAAGATAAAGGAGAAGTCAAAGATGATATAAAAGTTACTAGTCTCACATGACAGAAGAACAATACTGACACTGAAATGAAGAAGCTGAGAAGTGGAGCTTAATTGTGGATGATAAATATGGTTTTATACAGGACAAGTCTGAGGGACAGTTAAAGAGAGATGTTCTAGAGACAACTGGAAATTAGACATAAGAATACAGGGGAGAAGTTAAAGCTGGAGATACAGATTTGAAAGTTATCAGAATAGAGATGAGAGTTAAAACTATTAAAGATGATCTTTCCCAAGGATTAGGAAAAAAGACCAAAAAGCTGCAGACAGGAATATGTGTCATCAATATTATTCAATATAGTTCAGGCCTCATTTCTCAAATATATAAAGAACTTTGTCAAATTTCTAAGAATATGAGTCATAACCCAATTGATAAATGGTCAAGGAATATGAACAGGCAGTTTTTTGACGAAGAAATCAAAACTATATATAATCATATGAAAAAATGCTCTAAATATTATTGATTAGAGAAATGCAAATTAAAACAAATTTGAAATATCATCTTACATGCATCAGTTGGCTAAAATGATAGATACCCTTCAATTGTGCAATGGTTGAACAAGCTATGCGTATGACTGTGATGGAATACTACTGTGATATACAAACTGATGAGTTGGTTGATTTAGAAAAACATGGAAAAACTTAGCCCTATGAAGGAAAATGCTATCCACTTCCAGAGAAAGAACTGACAAATAGAAATATGCACAGCATGGTCTTACATATATGTATATGTGTGTGTGTGTTTATAGATATATACTTATATTTATATATATTTACATTTAATTGTAGCCTTCTCTAGGGTGGGGGGGGTGAGGAAAGGAATAAACTAAAAAGTGAACAGCAGGGACGGTTAGGTGGTGGAGTAAATAGAGCACCGGCCCTAAAGTCAGGAGGACCTGAATTCAAATTCAGCCTCAAACATTTGACATTTATTAGCTGTGAAACTACCAGCAAGTCACTAAACTCAAACCGCCTAAAAAAAAAAAAAAAAAAAAAAAAGAATAGGAAAAAAAAAGTGAACAGCAGAGAACAAAAGAAAACCTAGTTCCAGGAAGCACAGAAAAGCTAGGTAGTTTTTAAAACAATGTGTAATATTTTTTACATAGGTTTTCTTGAAATGGACATTTATTGTTTTATACTGAATCCTCTCCTATGTTCTGCTGTGTACATGGAAAGCTTTTTTTTTCTTTTCTTGTTTTGTATTTAAGTTTAAAATGAATAAAAAATGTTAAAAAAAAATCATCAGGGGAGGAAGTTAGGGAAGGGCTAAAAGGTACCTCAGAGATCATGTTAAGACCAGAAAGGTTAAACTTGCAGCCCACAGTCCAGAACCAGATTAAAATGTCACTGGCAAATGTTTAACAAAATAAATAAAAATACAACACAACACAGATGATGTTGATTTGAAGTTTTATCTATTTCTATTTGCATTCTGGCAAAAGATCTAATCAAAAGACCTGACACTAAGAATCTAATCAAAACTGTTTATTTTAAGGGGCAGCTAGGTGGCAAAGTGGATAGAGCACCAGCCCTAGAATCAGGAGGACCTGAGTTCAAATCCGGGCTTAGACACCTAACACTCACTAGCTGTGTGACTCTGGGCAAGTCACTTAACCCCAATTGACTCACCAAAAAAAACCTTTATTTTACAAAGGAGAAAACTAGAAATCCATCTCTGAGGTCAGTCCCACAGTTCCAACTCACCTAAGTTCATCCATTTCCTTCTTCTTCTTCATTTCCTCTTTCTCTTTCCTCTTCATTTCTTGAATTTGAGCTTTCTTCTCATTCCTCTCCTCTCGGTCTCTGCATTCCTTTTCTGCTGCTAGGTCTGGGAAACGTTCTATTTTGGTCTTTTCTAATCGGTTCAGAATCTCATTTACTTTCTTCTCCACTGTTACAATTTTCACCTTGGTGAAGAAAAGGGAAATTGGGGTGGGAGTAGGAAGGAAAAGAAAGCTTTTTTTGTTCTTTGGAATAAGTTATTTTCCTGCTTAAAGGTGGTGGCTAGGACAGAGAAGAGGGAGAAAATGTTGAGGAACCTATCCGGGGAGCCCACGACTATTATATATATATGTGATCACTCAAGTTTATTTCCTTTTTTTTTTTTCAACTTAAAACACAGTCACCCCTCAAAAACATAGTGAGTGCTAGATGGAAAAACTGAGTACTACACTCATATAGGAGCCTATTTCCTTCAAAGAATAGGAGATACTTACATCCTTTTGCCTGTGAAATCCTATCTGTCCCACATCCATGTCTGCTGTTTTCTTCAAGTTAGACCACGGTGTATATACCACATTAACATTGTTCATCTTGCAGCCTGACAAGAGAAACTTCTCTTCAGCATGTAAGGCAAGAAAACACTAGACAATGCTTTCCTCTCAAACTTCCCATTAATAATCACAAGCCAACAAGGATAAAGTTAAATACAATTAAACTAAAAATATCATCAAAATAACAAAATGTTAAGTCATTCAGGTATTTTTCTATTACTCACAAAATGGCAGCTGATTTATTAAATAAAATTACCATTAAATTATTGTACTACAGTAGAAAAAGCAATGGGGGCAAGAAATAAAAACACCTGGACTTTGGCCCAGACTCTGTTCTATGTGACCTTAGGTAAGTTAACCTCTCTAGCCCTTAAGTTTCCTCATGTGTAAAATGATGAAGTCAGACAAAGTGCTCTCTAAGATTCTTACCTATTCTAACATTACGATGTACATCTGCAACCCCATGACTAGCCAGGTCTGAGTAATCAAAGCTCCATGAATTAAGAGTCCTCAGGAAGAGATGGTCTCTCTACTTCACTTTTGTTTGTTCATTTATTGAAAGCTACAACCAGGGGCAAAAGAAGACAAAGAACAAATTCCCCCATTTCTCCAGTGGGGAAGTCTCAGGGGTATCAGGGAGAATAGGATGCCAGTACAGTTTCTGGGGCTGTGGGAAAGTAGAACATGTTAGTCTTGAGGTGTCTGGAGTAATATGAGAGGTAGGAGAGTCTTAGGTGGTAAGCTAGCTGATATCTGTGCCTCTGCAGTAGGAGGCATGCTGGGGGCTGAGACTTGGGTTCATTAACTATCTAAGCAAACATGAACATGTCATTTACCCTCTCTGGGCCTCAGTTTGGTCCTCTGTAAGTGAGAGGCTTAGATTCAATATGATTCTAGTTACGAATTTTTATTTCCTATGCTAACTCATAAGTGCTGCTTTGATTTTGCCAGGCCAAATCCACTAGGGTGAGAAAAGAGGGGGTATAGAGAAAAAAAAGGAATGAAAAAAGAGTTCAGTATATTGGAAAGCTGAGTAGGCAGTCCATACAATGGTACTGGGAGAGAGGAGAGCCCTTCCTTCCCTTCTCTCTAGATCCTGGAACCAATGAAAAGGCTACACAGGATTGTGGAGGACTAAAAGAAACTTAGAGCTACCATAACTTTCACCAGTCAGCCAGTGAATATGAAAAGGAGGATGAGAAAGAAATAAGAACGAAAGCCAAAGGAATGAGACACACATTTTTTAACTGGTAAATTTCATTGGAAATTTTTTTTAAAATCCTGCTTTTTAACTACAAAAAGCTAAGTGTCCTAAAACAACAAAAAGAACTTACAAATTTACAAAAGAGAAAACATGGGATTTTACACAGCTATTAACAATACGGCAGTATAGTATAAAGAAAAGAACACTAGAGAACAGATCTGGTCTCTAGACACCACACTTATAAACCGGAAATTCACTTAAGCACCCTGGGTCATGACTCTCGTCTATAAAACAAGTTAACTAAGACTACAAGATCTTTAGCAGAAATTCCTCACATAAAAGTATACTTAATTTTCTTGAAATATAGATTGTCTGAGAAAACGTCCAAGAAAATGTAGGGAGGACAACTAGGTGACACAGTGGATAAAGTGCCAGGAGTCAGGAAAGACTCATCTTTCTGAGTTCAAATTTGGCCTCAAAAACTTAGTGTGTGACCCTGGGCAAGTCACTTAATCCTGTCTGCCTCAGTTCCTCATCTATAAAATGAGCTGAGGAAGGAAATGGCGAACCACTTCAGTATCTTTGCAAAGAAAACTCCAAATGGAGTCACATAATGTCAGATATGGCTGAAACAAGTGAACATCCACAACAACCACAACAACAAAGAAAACATAGGCTGCATATTTCAGCTATCTTTAAGGTCTCTTTCAGCACAAGGCCTATCGTCTCAAAGACCTCATTTCTGCCTAACCAAGTAAAGGGTACCTCCTGATGATACCCGATAAACAGAACAAAAGGAGGTAGTGAAAGATAAATCCATCTGCAAAACCCAATATTATCCTGACACGAGCTACATATCCTCCCACCTCCAAACCCCATTTCCACCCCAAACTACATTCCTTTCCCACATCAAATCTTACTTTCACCCTCTTCTCATCAACTCCTAAGCCAACTCCAATAGTATCTGTTCCACCTGAGCCTCTTTCATACCTCAATTCTGCTCCTATAATTCAATCTATCTTAACAAACTCTCAACTCCTAACTTACATCTTAATGTCCATCTACCTTCAGAATACCTTAACCTGGAACCCTTTTATTCACCTCCTTAATTGTCGAGAGGCTGTAGCTAGTACATATCATGCCCTAACAAAACAATGGATGACAACATCATCTGATCTACTTCCTCTCAACTCAAAAGGAAAAAAAAAAGTCAAAAAGCATATATGCATGAAAAGGGCAAGGGAAAGCAAGTGATCTTCAGCAATGGAATCTAATGACCAAATGACAAACCTACAAATAAATGCATCTCATGCTGAGCTAATAATATTAACTTAGTATACAAAAACCTTTTACAAATCACCTTAAAGACAGACTTTAAAGAGCCTAAGGTAATCTTTCATTTCAGGCAAGAAAAATAAATTAGTGGGATGAATTAAGATACAGGGAAATGAAAAGTATATTATTTTATAAGAAAAAACTACAGGTGCTTTTTACGTAGCAAAGCCACCATTTATAAAGGGTAAACTAATGAAGGCATGCTCCTCATCATTTTTACACATTAAAAATAGTGCATTTTGGGGCAGCTCAGTGGCGCAGTGGAAAGAGCACCAACCCTGGAGTCAGGAGGAACTGAGTTCAAATCCAGCCTCAGACACATAACAATTACTAGCTATGCGACCCTGTGCAAGTCACTTAACCCCACTGCCCAGCACCCCCGCCTTAAAAAAGTGCATTTTAAAAAGAAATAGAAACATTCTTGGATATATAATACTACAAATTATGAAAATGCCTCAGACAAAGATTACCTTGAATACTATTGGCCTTCACAAGGTGTGCACAATCCATCAGCACTTCCTTTGGAATGTCTTCTATCCTTTCCCCCTGAAACACAAATGTAACCTAACTGGATGACATGATTTTAATGCTGACCAAAACCTAAGCATGTGCAGAGTTCAGCGTACCCTACTGGGGTCTATTTTATTCAATGAGAGGATTCTAATATAACAGAGCAGAAAAAAGCAAAATTGACAGGAGCCAAAGGAAGTTTATCTTTTCATTCTCTCCAATTTTAGTAATTAATATATTAAGTAAATTGACTGGAGAAATATGAGTAACATGTGATGCTTCTCGTTGGGGAAAAAAAATCATAGGATCATAGATTTGGAAGTGGAAAGAACTTTAGGTTATCTACACCAATTCCCTCATTTTAAAGATAAGGAAACAGGCACTATAAAGTGGCAGAGACAGGATTCAAACCTCTTGATTCAAACTCAGGACTCTTTCCATCGCACTACAAATATATATTTTAAAAGAAGTTGGCTCCAATTACCTTGTGCAGCCGGAGGTACACATGAGCTGAAGAGAGTTTGTCCACGTGAAACCTACAAAAGAGGGAAATCATTTTTAAGAGGAGGCTTACGACAAGTATAAGTACAGTATGAGGATAGAAAGAAGACTGGTTAGTATAGTGGAAGAAAAAAACTGAACAGACAGGGCATGACCATAACAGAAGCAGCTCAAGTTCTTCAAGGCAATTCTCAAAACATTGTCTGTATGTCCCAAGTATGTGTAGTTCTGCTACCTCTCTTTTAGGTACTCTGTTAGAGATACAGCATCCATTAATTTGTCTAAATTTTCATTAACCTGTTTACATCTCCAGAATATATGCACCCTCTTGGGGGTGATGAGCTTTACATGTTAACTTTCCATGCAGCAAAGCATTACTGCTATTGCAAGCTTCAGCAGGTGCTCCCAGTTCTGGGGTCACCATATTCTGTTTACACATCTCGATCTAGAGCCGTCCATTTGCTTTGTGAATCTGATGATTTTGATCGTATCCCATTCTCACTTGATCTTTCCAAACTCAAGTGTATCCTGCCTTTTCTGAGAAACAAGGACCTTCAAAAACACATCATGTTCCAAGCAGTAGAAACACCCTGATTCTGTACAAAGGTGTGATTATTATGCTGCTTATTCCAGTGCCATTCTCACTGACACCAGGCATCTGAGAAGCAGCACCAGAGCAGGAATCTCCAGTAAAGAGTTCACAATGATATCCAGATGCTCCTAGTGGATGGATCACTACTCATCTCAGAACTCTCACTTTATCATCTTGTATTGCATTATTCTTCCCACGTAAGTTTATCTACTATTTTTCAACCCATTCACAGAATCAACATGAGCTCTTTCTGCTTATAAACATTCTTCACGGCATTTCACAACCCAAGGGAACTAAGTATCATCTACATAAACCTGGAAATTTCATTGTGAATTTCCCTTTCGTGGTTCTGGCACTGATCCCTAAGGATTACTACTATAAACCATTTTCCACCACAAAAAAAAAGGGACTTTTTCTTACTTTTTCTTTCTTCTTCATAACCCAACACTTGTTTCTGTAATTTTATTTTTTAACCATGTAGTTTATTTTTAGCATTTTTTAAAATTTTGAGTTCCAAGTTCTTCCCTCCCCTCCAATATCTCTCCCACCTTTTGAAAAGGCAAGCAATGATACCAATTATACAAAACATTTCCTTATTAGCCATGTTACACCACTCTCCCCTCCAAAAAAAGCAAGAGAAATAAAGAAAGTGAAAAAATTATACTTCAATTTACACTCAAGAGTTCATGATTCCTCTCTCTGGAGATGGTTAGCATTTTTCATCACGAGTCCTTTGAACTGTCTTGGATCACTGTATTGACCAGAGTGGCTAATTTTTTCCCAATTGATCATCATTACAATATTGCTGTTTCTGTGTACAATGATTTGGTTCTACTCATTTCACTTTGCATCAGTTCATATCGAAACCATTCCTCTCATCATTTCTTGCAGTACAATATTCCATCACAACCATATGCCACACCTCGTTCAGCCATTCCCCAATTGATAGGCATCCCATCCATTTTCAATTCTTTACTACTACAAAAAGGGCTACTATAAATATTTTTGTACAAATAGGTCCTTTTCCTTTGATCTCTTTGGGACACAGACCTAGAAGTAGTATTGCTGGGTCAAAGGGTACACATAGTTTTATAGACTTTTGGGCATAGTTTCAAATTGTTCTCCAGAATGATTGGACCAGTTCATAATTCCACCACTAGTGCATTAGTGTGCCATATATTTCCCCTCCAGCATTTGTCATTTTCTTTTTCTGTCACATTAGCCAATCTGATAGATGTAAGGTGGTAACTTGAAGCTGTTTTAATTTGCATTTCTCTAATCAATAATAATGTAGAGCATTTTTTTCATATGAATATAAATAGCTTTGATTTCTTTTTCTGAAAATTGTCTGTTCGTATCCTTTGACCATTTATCAACTGAGGAATGGCTCTTATGTTTATAAATTTGACTCAGGTCCCTATATATTTGAGAAATGAAGTCTTTATTAGAGAAATTCGCTATAAAAAGTTTTGTTATTACTTTATTGTCCATGGTATTTTTAACTAGTTTCTCTGATTATCTCTTTTAATTAAGTCTATTTTGCCTTTTGTTTTAATCTGAGATCATAATTGCTACCCCTGCCTTTTTTACTTCAGCTGAAGCATGACAGATTCTAGAATACTCTAGCCACCTATATTTTAACTCTTTTTACGTATTACTTTCAAGTGTGTTTCTTGTAAATAACATATTGTTGGATTCTGGTTACTAAATCATTTTGCTCTTTATTTCTGTTTTATGGGTGAGTTCATTCCATTCACAACCATGACTATGATTACTAACTGTGTATTTCCCTCAATCCTATTTTCTTCTATTTAGCCTTCTCTCTCTCTCTCTCTCTTTATCCTCAATTCTATTTTCCTCTTTTTACCCAGTCCCTCCTCAAAAGTCTGTTTAACTTCTCACCACTGCCTCCCTTAATCTGCCCTCCCTTTTATCACACCTACCTCTTTCTCTTTTCCTCTTCCTGGCTTACTTCTCTATTGAGAAGTATAGATTTCTATACCCAAATAAGTGTGCGTATATACTCCTCCCTCTTTGAACTAATTCTGATGTGAGCTTCAGGTGTCACCCACCCCCGCAATTTCTCTTCCACTATAAAACCTCCTCCTTGTATGCCTCTTTAATGTGAGATAATTTTCCCCATTCTTCCTCTCCCTTTCCTTTCTCCCAAGGCATTCCTTTTTCTCACACCTTTCTTTTTTTTTTCTTTTTTGGAGATCATTTCAACATAATCAACTCACACCCATGCCTCTGTCTATGTAGGCTCCTTCTAGCTGTCCTAATTATGATAAAGTTCTTAGGAGTCACGTGTATCATCTACACATACAGGGATGTAAATAGTTTAATTTTACTAAGTCTCTTAAAACTTCTCTTTCATGTTTATCTTTTTACGCTTTTCTTCTGTTTTTGAATGTTGAATTTTCTATTCAGCTTTGGTCTTTTCATCAGAAATGCCTGAAAGTCTTCTATGTCATTAAATATCCATTTTAGCCCCTGAGGGTTTATACTCAGTTTTGCTGAGTAGGTGATTCTTGGTTGTAATACTGGCTCCTCCGCCTCCCAGAATATCATATTCCAAGCCCTCTGCTCCTTTAATGTGGAAGCTGGAAAGAAGTATCCAAACTAAGGGAAACAAATCTACATGCCTTTAAGTATCTTATAGTCCGACTATCCTCACTGTTCATAGTAGAATAGTGATTAGATTATTTAAAAAGAATGTTAGGAAAAAGTAATATATTGGTCAAAAAAAGGCTCCAGAAAAAACAAAAAGACAAGTATGTGTAGATGTTGTGATGACTGCCAAGGCTACAGCATCAGGAGAAAACCCCTGGCTTAGGTAATGGTAGTAAAAACTGGGAGCGAGCATAGCAGTCAGCTATTTATAATCTGATCTCCTTAGATGCGAAGACGGGGCACTAGCCGTGCTCTTAATTTGATGTCTTATTTCGGATCATGGAGTCTTAAGTTGGCTAGACTCTTCTTTACAGTTAATGAATGACACTCCGTTAGAGAACAAAGAGAGCTACTCACCAAATATCTTCTGGCCAGCCGTATTTTATTAGATCTTCATCTGAAGGAGACATGAGAGAAGGATAAGAAGCATATTCTAGTAACTAGATATCACTTAAGATTGGCCACGGTTTATAATACAAAAACAAACAAACAAACACCACTCTGGTTTTTCTACTTCAAGCATTTTAGGGGTGGTGGTAGTAGTAAGCTATTTAAACCAAGAGTGCTCATTAGGTTGTTGTGAACTATAAGTAGTCCCCAGAGTTCAGCAAGGAGGCCAATAAGTTAGCCCAATGCATGAGATGTTTGAATGCAAACTCTTTGAGGGCAGACACTACATGTTTTATTCATCTTTGTAGAGCCCTCAGCACATAAAACGGTGCCTTGAAAATAGCAGGTTCTCCATAAATTTGAGTTAAATGTCTGAATGCACAATAGTTTCTGGTCAAAGTTCCCAGATAGAAAAGAGAAGTGGTGAATATCTTCAAGTGACTTTACTGCTTTAAAACCAGGTGAGTTAATTTTTTTAATTGAGTTAATGAATGAGTCAGTTTTTTAAAAGATTAGAAAATATGGTTAAAATTCTTTTTTATGAAAGAATTATAAAAATCCATACCCTGATAGCAACAGCCCAAGACCCTGAACCCAAGGGCCTTGGGAATAGCAGTGCTTCTGGCCTAGTGCCCCCTGCTATCATCTTGAGAAGCAGTCTCTGCAGAAATGCAGGCTGATAACTGTTCTGAGAGGGGCTATTGCTACAACTACTGAAGATCTAGAAAAGAAAGTTCTTGCCACCAAAGCCTTTGGCATTGTAAAACAGTTCAACATTGGAAACTAATATTTTATCAGTGGACATTATGACATTAAAGAAAAGGTATTTTCATCTACTTTGCTCTTCACCCCAAGGACCATAGGACTCTTCCATCAGACTTGCAGCTAAAACTTTCATATGTGTTTTCTCCCCCATTAGAAATGTGAGCTCCTTGAGAGCTCTTCTATTTTATTTATTTTTATTTGTACCCACAGCTCTTAGCACTGTGCTCTGCATATAGAAGTGCTTAATAAATGATTTAATCATTCATTCATTCATTATTATATTTTAACTTAAGCTTAAAGATATCACCATGAAAAAAGGCATTGACTACTGAGACATTCACTTAGCCTTTTTATAAAAGTTTTATAAATATCAAATGTCCTGTTATCAATTTCCAGTTCATGTTCCTTCCAATATTCCCAATATCCAGTTACCATGGTCATTTGCTAATTGCAGATGAAGAGTTTAGCATTATCCTAACATGGGCAATTAGTAGTTATTGCTCCATAACACCAACTATTATAAATTATAAGGCCAAGAGTAAAGCATAAAAAAAAATTTTTTAAAAAAGTAAAGCATAAGAAATGTGTATATGGGTAGGTGTGTGTATATGTAAAAACCATCACATGTGAAAAAGAAATGATTGTTTTGCTTTTTGCAGATGAGATGATGGTTTACTTAGAGAACCCTAAAGAATCAGCTAAAAAATTAACTGAAATTAATAACTTCAGCAAAATAGCAGAATATAAAATAAATCCATAAAAATAATCAGCATCTCTATATATTACCAACAAAATTCAGCAGGAGGAGATAGGAAAAAAAATTCCATTTAAAACAACTTATTATTGTTGCTCAAACTCTTCATGACCCCATAGGACCACAGCACACCAATACTGTCTATGAAGTTTTCTTGGTAAAGATACTGGAGTGGTTTGCCATTTCCTTCTCCAATGGACAAAGGCAAACAGAGGTTAAGTGATTTGCCCTGGGTCACACAGTTAGTAAGTGTCTAAGGCTGATTTAAACTCAGGTATTTCTGACTCCTAGCTCAGCACTCTATCCACCTAGATGCCTCTAAAAAACTACACAATATGTAAAATATTTAGGATTCAACCACCAAGATATATATAGGAACTACATGACTACAACTGACTGAACAGAAACAGACAGATCTTAGTCAATGGAAAAATATAAATTGCTCACAAGACTGAACCAATATAAGAATGACACCAATATTCAGTGTCAGACCAATCAAACTACCAAAGTTTTATTTTAGAAAGCTAAAAAAAAAGAAAGAAAGAAATCTGGAGGAACAAAAGCTCAAGAATTTTGAGGGGCCTAGTAGTATCAGATCTCAAAATGCACTACAACACAATAATAAACAAAAGTATTTGAGGCTGGTTAAAAAATTTGTGGGGGCAGCTAGGTGGCGCAGTGGATAGAGCACCGGCCCTGAAGTCAGGAGGACCTGAGTTCAAATCTGGCCTCAGTCCAAACACTTGATACATACTAGCTGTGTGACCCTGGGGAAGTCACTTAACCCCAACTGCCAAAAAAAAAGTAAAAAATTTGAGACTAAGCAGTGGATAAGATTGGGTGGGTATATCACATACAGAAGCAGAAGAACTTAGTTACCTGGTGGTCAATAAACTTAAAAGCCCTAGCTATCAGGGTAAGAATTCACTATTCAACAAAAATTGCCAGAAAAATAGGAAATGGGTCTGGCAGAAATCAAGTTTAGACCAACATTTTACAATGACTTAGGTTTAAAAGGTCACACCTTAAACAAATTAGAGGAATGAAGAAGTTATCTTTCAAATCTGAAAACAGGGGAAGCGTTCATGACCACAGCAGATAAAATTGCCAATTTTGTTCACTTAAAATTTTTAAAGTTTTGTAAACACAAAATCAAATGCAGTTGAGATTAGAAGAGAAAAACAGTTAACTAGAAAAAAATCTTTTCAGCAAAGTTCCTGTTAAAGATCTAATTTCCAAGATATACAAAGAAATTATTCACATTTTTAAGAATAAGAGCTATTGGGGCAGGTAGGTGGCGCAGTGGATAGAGCACCGACCCTGAAGTCAGGAGGACCTGAGTTCAATTCCAGCCTCAGACCAAACACTTGACACTTACTAGCTATGTGACCTTGGGCAAGTCACTTAACCCCAAATGCCTTTAAAAAAAAAAAAGAGTAAGAGCTATTCTCGAATTGATAAATAGTTAATAGTTATAAAAGCAGGCAGTTGTCTGCAGAAGAAATTCAAGCTAGCCATAGCCATATAAAAAGCAAAAATTATCCAAATCACATGCAAATTAAATCAATTTTTACCACCAAAGAACTTCACCATTAACTTTCTAACGCTGCGGTTCTTTGAATTTAATTAGCCTTGTCCTCAGATTATAGGCAACAGTCTAACACCAGGCTTATATTCAAAGTCTTTTTTCTAGCATGACTTTCTAGAACTTACTATCCTGAGGTTCCTCAAACAAAACATATATTTGTGGACATTTGTGGACATGGGCCACGTGAGAAATTGTTTTGCGTGTCTATGCATATGTTACAAGGGTTTGGCTTTTTTGTTTTGTTTTGTTTTTCAATGAGGGGTGAGATGGAAAGAGGAAATAAATGTTTAATTTGAAAATTTTTAAAGGAGTCAGCATGATCTAGAATGTATACATACATATGCTTCCTGTTGAATTTTAAATAAAATCATACCAGTAAACTAAGGAAAGTTATTTAATGTGAATGCCTAGATTCAAAGACTGCTAAAGTGATAATCTATCTTTAACAGAAATAGCTTCTTCTGTGGTTTTAGAATGAATAATGGATTCTCAGGCAGTTAGATGGCTCAGTGGATAGAGTGCTGGGCTTCGAGTCAGGAAGACCAGAGTTCAAATCTGACCTCAGATAATTACTAGCTGTGTGACCCTGGGCAAGTCACTTAATTTTGGTTTGTCGCTGGAAAAAGAAATGGCAAAACACTCCAGTATCCTTGCCAAAAAAACCCCATGGCCAGTACTAGCACGATATGGTCTGCAGGGTCATGAAGAGTTGGACATGACTGAACAACAACAAAACTGGTTTCTTCCTCAATTCATTCCAAATTGAGAAATTGCCTGAGAATTTAAAAATAAGTTATTTTCCTAGTATGTAAATAAAGAGAAAGAGATAGTTTAAACTTCTTACACTGAATTGGCTGAAATAATCTTTAATCTTCATTTTAAAATACTTAGATATCAAGGATCTATATTTTATTTGGTGTGGGTTCTCCTTCCATCAATATAAACCACAATTCCACTATGCCTATTTAAAAAGTCTACAACTTTCACAGCCACAGTACTGTATCACCAACCTTCTGGTGATGAGCTCAGATAATTAATTAGCTTTGCCTTAGTAAATTTGCATTTACTATCCGCTGACACAGCCCTGAAGACCCTGGGTGATAATCATACCACAATAAGGCAACAGAGTTGGTCTTTGGTGAAGGTTAAAAAACAAAAACAAAACAAGATATACACAAATAAAGCAAAACACATTTAGCAAAACTGAAGGAGATATAACTCAACTGGGAGCCAAAAGACTTGAATTAAAATTCCTGTCACTACCTAGTTGGATGACCCTGAATTAATCTCTGTTAATAGTTTATAAGCATTTTCAGGTACATTAACTTTCCTAATTTATTCCTTTATAATAGCCCTTTGGGGTAGGTTTATCCTTATTTTACAGATGAGGAAACTAAGTCTCTACTCTAAAGGGAATATTGAATGCAGAAGTTCGCTTATTTGAATATAGAAGTTCAGGTAGTTTAAAAAGATAATCAGTGCTTTTAGTCACTTTAAAATATGGTATTTGATCATTTGGCTTACTGTCCTTTCTTTTGGCCTTTTTGCTCTCCACTGTGGGGTAGGCAGAAAAGAAAAATAAATTCAGGAATTTTAATAGTCTCTAGAGAACCTAAGATAAAGTATACTACCCATCTCTTTATAGAGAAGTGATAAACTTAGGATGCAGAACACATATATCTTCAGATACAGTTAATGTGGACATTTGTTTTGCTTGAAACTTAGCATATTTGTTAGAGGAGTTATTCCCCATATGATGAAAATGAAAAGAGAAAGGAGAAAGGGAGAGGAAAAGAAGGTCGCTGAGGCCTCTTCCTTTTTTTTTTAAATGCACAGGGAAAAAAAAAGGTCAGAAAGAAGCACAGCCAAATGGGATAGTTTGAAAGTTTTAAGCTGAACTTATAAACTTGAAAAAGAAAAGCATGCTATACGTAACAGAGATCAGGAGTTTTGTGTACAATCTTTTTATGTTCTACTATGTATATGGAAATGCCCATTTTATTTGTTGTTTGTTATGTTTAGAATAAAAATAAAATCATAAAAAGAAAAGAATAAATAAGACCTATGTCCAAGCTGAGAGGTTCCTTACAACTTCTAAGATCCTATGGTTTACCTTTCTCTCATTTTCAGACCATGTATGACTCTCTGATTCCACCTGCTGGCCAATGAGAGGAATAAGCTAGCCTCTGTGAGAGAAAATAAGAAACTGCCAAAGCTATGATTTATAGCTGTCTATCCAAAAGATCAAGACCCCAAGCATGATAAAGGCTACTAGAGAAGATCATGCTTGTGCCAAAAATTCCTTGTAGTATATAAAGTATTTTTCTTCTATGCCAGGAGATAAGAGGATTTTAAGAAGTGAAAAGATCACCAGAAGATGAGAAAAAATCTCCATAATTTCAAGAGCAGTGAAGGGTCTAATTTAAAAGGCTTCAAGAAAGAAGTCAAGATTATAAAAGCAGTAACTTCTTACTGCTATCTCTGGCTATAAAAATGAAGGAAAAGCCAAAATCTAAGAAACTGGGCTCCATCACAGGCCACCGGGCAGCAGAGAAGTTAAAAAATATAAAGTACCATTTCTGGCTTAAAGATGGGTTAATGGCACTTGCAGCAGTCACAAGTCTCCTTAGGCTCTGGACACTTGATGCTCTATATCACCTTCTACTGCCCATTATTTTGTGGAGACAAACAGAAGAGGGAAAGGGCTTCAGTACAAGGCAACTCAGTATCCACACTGGAATTATTGTAACACCTTTGGTGAGCTACATTTCCCTGTTTTATGCCTCACTTGATATTTATGAACAAGGATATTTCTACTGTTATGTCCAAGGAATCTTGAATAATTACTACAAATGGATGGGAGACATTTTGTTGAAAAACAGTCTTTAAGGTGACATTTTTCTCTACTGCTTTTTTTTTATCAATAATAAGCACAGTGGGATCTTACATTCTTCTATAGCTTTGAATCAACTGTAAAACAGTAAAGATGTGGTCCACTATGGCACTTGCAAAAAAAAAATCTGTATATTCCCTAATATCCTCATTAAAGATCACCTCATTTTGTGTATAATCAATCAAAAGAGCTTGGCCTGACTATACACATAAAGAAAACTAAATAGATGAAGAATGTTTATTGCCCAGATTTTGACATTTGGATAGAAAGCCTATAGGCCTTGTCTATCAGTCTGTATATTTAGGAGTAGGGCCTGAAGATAGACAGGAGGAGAGTAAGCTGTATTGACTTTGGGAAGCTGCAAAGCTCCTTTACCCAAGTTTTCCATGAGAACAAAGACTCATCATCTTTTTAATACCAACATTCTACCTTAGTTGTATATGACAGAGACATGGAATACAACAGTCTCTTAAGAATTAAAAATGAGTATCACACAGATGGCAATGGAGAGCTCATGGTGGGTATGAGCAGGCTACAATATATAAACAATGAGGAACTTTTAAGAAGAGCAATAAAAGATGTCTGATATGAAGAAAATATATAATCCTAAGGTAAGGGATAACATAGATTTCAGTCTGTACTCTGAATCCCACCTGTTGGTCAGGAGATATGTAAGCATGTTTCATCGTTTGTAGTCATGGCTGGTTATGATATGGATCAGAGTTCTCGGGTCTTTCCAGCTGTTTATCTCTATAATGTGAACCTTACCTTTTGCAGGTCATTGACCTATTCTACCTTTCTGACCTTACATTTTGCAGCTCTAAAATACTGAACATTTAAAACCACAAGATCCTCAATACTCTATCTGCCTCTTACAGCAAGTTCTGCAATCAATTTTACACTATGCTTTAAGAGATTCTTATTTGCATCCACATTCATTTGTGGTAATTATTCAAGATTCCTTGGAACATCCACAAGGAAAAGAAAACAGGAAACCCAGGAAAACAAAAACTAGAGAACCAGGGAGAGGCCCATAAATACAGTAGTTCAGCTCTGTACTTCCTAGGGTAGAGTTATTTTGCCCTGTGAGACCCCCTCCAGCTGGGGGAAGAAGAGACAGGGCCTAGGGAACTTAGGTGACTTGAAGGGAGCACTAGATGAACACCTCTGCTCCATGGCTGTGAAACGGAAGCACTGTGACTCTAAATTCCTCTGGCCATCAATGTGCTGCTCTCCCTTTTCCTATACCTAACCACCTCCTCACTCTCTCTCTCCCCCCAAGGTCCCCAGGATTCTGAGCATCAGGGACACAAACTATTACCTTAAGCCCATGGGAGTCAACCTGTAGTCTAGCCTGTCTCCTCATTTTTTATAATGCAAAAACTATACCCTGAACTATGATATCCAAGTAGCAACTTGGACCACAAAGAAGAAGGTTGGCTTTACTACACAATCAAAAGTGACATAAATTATAAAGCATGAAAAAGGTTTCTTATTCAGTCTCAGAAACATTAGCAGGTATCAAATCAATCAACAATTAGCTTCTTATTAAGAAGCTAATAAGTGCCAGGCACTGTGTTAGGTGCTGGGGTACAAAAACAACATTAAAATGTTCCCTGACCTCACAAAACCTAGCTTGGGGAGACAACAGGTACCTATATAGGTGTATACATGTTAACTTGAGAGGAAAGGCATTAGGACTGGGGAGGAGGACAGAAGGGAGGGGGACATGGGAATCATGAAAGGATTAATGTAGAAGGTGATGCGTGAAAAGAATTAAGGATTCCTGACCCTGGGCAAGTCACTTAACCCCACTGCTTCACCCAAAAAAAAAAAAAAAGAATTAAAGATTCCTTTCTTTTCCCCTTTTAACTCTCCACAGTCTGACTTCCAACCTCATCATTCAATTGAAACTTTCTCTCCAAATTTACTAATGCCCTCTTAATTGCCAAATCTAATGGCCTTTTCCCTGTCCTCCTCTTTCTTGGCTTCTCGGTAGCTTCTGACACTGTTATCACTCTTTCTCTAGGTTTTCAGAACTACTCTCTCCTAGTTCTCCTCCTGCCTATTTGACTGTTCCTTCTCTATGTCCTTTGCTGGATCTTCATTAAGGTTATTTCCAAAAACCACAGGTGCCCCAGAGTTCTGTCATGGACCCTCTTCTCTTCTCCCTCTATTTCACTTGGTAATTCTATCAGCTCCCAAGGACTAAATTATCACCTCTATGCTGATGATTCTCAAATCTACTCTGAGGACTTAATCTCTCTGCTGACGTCCAGTCTCAAATCTCCAACTACCTACTGGACATTTTGAACTTGGATATCCCTTAGACATCTTAAACTCGGTATGTCCAAAACTGAATTCGTCATCTTTCCCCCACAACTTTTCCCTCCTTCCTAATTTCTCTTTTACTATTGAGAGCACAATCATTCTCTCAGTTACCCAAGGGCACAACCTAGGTGTCTTAATCTCACTCTACCTTCCCACATCCAATCTGCTGTCAAGACTCATCGATCGAACTTCTCAGGATCTTTTGTATACTCTCCCGTTTCCACTCTAACCGTGCCACCACTGTGGTTCAGACCCTCACTGCCTCACACGTACGCTATCACAACAGCCTGATGGTTTGTCTCCCTGCCACAAGCCCCTCCTCACTCTACTCCATCCTCCACATGTTGCCAAAGTGACCTTCCTAAAGCACAGATCTAACCATGTCACTTCCCCTACTCAATAAACTCCTGTGGCTCCCTATTACCTCCAGAATCAAATACAAAATCTTCTTTTTGGCATTCAGAGCCTTTTGTAGCTTAGCCTTCCCCGCAATCTTTCCAGTTTTCCTACCTTACCTCCCCTCACCCCCCCCACACACACATTCTATAATTAGTGACATTGGCTTCCTTGTTCTTTCTCCAACAAGAGACACCATCTCTTGACTCCATATATTTTCACTGGCTGCCCCACATGTGTGGAACCTCTCCCCCCTCATCTCCAACTCTTGGCTTCCTTCAAGTCCCAGCTAAAATCCTCCCCAGAACAGGAAGGTCTTCCTGATTCCCTTTAATTCTAATGCCTTTCTTCTGTTGATTATCTCCAAATTTATCCTGTATACAGCTTGTTCAGATCAGTTGTTTGCATGCTGTCCCTCCATTCAGACTGTGAGCTTCTTGAGAGCAGAAATGGTCTTCAGTCTTCTTTGGCATGCCCAACACCTAGTACAGTGCCTGGTACATACTACGTGGCTAATAAATGTTTACTGACTGAGAAGCTGACAGATTCTAAGAAGTGGAACTGAGGAATCCATTCCAGGCAAGGAATGAAGGGTTGTTTATGAGGAACTTTAAGTAGTCGGTTTGGTTGGAGCTCTGAGTGCATGAAGGGGAACAATGGCCAATTTGTAAAGGACTCAAAAAGCCAGAGAGAAGAATTTATATCTGAAGTTACGGAAAGCCACAGGAGTTTGCTGAGTAGAACTGAGAAATGGTCAGGGGTGCACTTTAAGAAAATCAGTTTGGCATTACTGAGGAGAATGGACTGGACTTGAGCCAGGGAAGTCAATTAGGCTATTATAATGGTCTAGGCGAGAGGTAATGAGCTTCTAAACCAAGGGTAGCAGCTGTGTAGGGAGAGGGAGAAAAAAACCAACAATGTGAGAAATGTCTTCACAGCCTCTGACATAGGATTTTTTTATCTGATCTCAACCAAAATAGGTTGATATAGATTTCAAATTCCATAACAATTAACATTATAATGGAACTCTTTATAAGATTTCTAAGCACCAGCCTAATAATTTCAAACCCTATTCAGCACAAACAAAATTCAAACTAAAACATTTTGACACCTAAATTGAAATTTTAATAATAGGATTTTGACCTGAAGGGCAGATTCACAAAAGATCAAAAACTCATTCCCAAATCAAAAAGAAGAGAAAGAAAAATAGTATTACTTACCTGTTGGAAATTTCAAAATCAAATGCTTTGTAAACTTACTTTCATATTTATCCTTTCCCATATAAATGGTGTAAACAGATGAATCAGCTAAGAAGAAGAAAATACAAAAAGGGAAAGAAATCAGATAACATTGTACATTACCTTACAAAACTATGGCATGAAGAAAACAGACACTAAAAGCTTGGGGGAGATGATACATCGCCACTTTCCTACTTGCTCTGAGTAAGTATTATGTTAGTCTTGAAATCTTAGTAATTTTAGTAATGTTATATCACCTGAAGGGCAAGTGGACTTGTAAAATGTACAAACATTAAGAAATTCCACTCAATTTTTCTAGGAGTACTATTCAGCATAACTTTCAAATCAAATAATGATTGGTTTTCTTTAAAAACAAAAAACAAAACCGAAAACACCACTAATTCATGGTGGAAAACTGCTCAAGCATTTAGAAACCTAAGAAATTTGGCCAAATTTTATTTGTAAATTTATATTATAAAAACTTAGTAATCATCTAGCAAAAACAATCTTCATGCCAATAGAAAAGACATGGCACTTCCAGGTCACATAACCAACAAGATGGAAGACCATATAAATCAAAAGAACTCTAAGGCACAATCCTGAAAATTCACAAAAATGATAAAAAATGGCAATAGTCAATGTTGGAGAGGTTAGAGAATGATAAGCATACTAATACATTGGTGAACCTGTGAAACAGTACTATCATTTTGGAAAGCAATTTGGATGTATACAAATAAAGTGACTAAAATGTCTATAGCACAGACTTCATTACTGGGCTTATACTCCTGGGAAACCATATAAGAAGAAAGTCATGGGAGCCAAGATGGTGGAGGGAAAGCAGTGACTTGCTAGAGCTCTCCCCCAAACCCCTCCAAATACCTATACAAAATGGCTCTAAACAAATTCTAAAGCAGCAGAACCCACAAAAAAACAGAGTAAAACAAATTTCCAGCCCAAGACAACCTGGACGGCTGATCGGAAAGGTATATCGCACTGGGCAGGGAGAGGAGAGCAGTTTGGCATGGGCGGGCAGGCCCCAGCGGCCCTGGAGCAGGCCTCAGAGGACTGAATAGCAGGCACCTGCAGCGGTTTCCAGACTTCTCAACCCACGAACACCAAAGACAACTTAGAAGGTTAGTGGGAAAAGTCTGTGACTGCAGTGAGAGAAGAAGCTAGGTCTCAGCCGCAAGTCCACAGCGTGACCTCAGGGCAACGATTGCGTCCTGAGCTTCCATCTCACAGACTGGGGGAAATCGAGTGGCTGATCAGAGGGGGGCTGCAAGGATCTCTTTGCCAGGGCTGAGGCAGAAATCTCTTGCTTTGCCCATGCCTGGATCTGAGTCACAGTTCTGAGGGGCGGTCCCAAGGTGAGGAAGAGCGCTGGACAGGAGGAGCGCTGGCGTGGTGGAGCTTGTTGTGGCAGTAGAGAGAAAACACCTCGCCCCTAATCATAGCACCTTGGAAGAACTGACACTTTTCAGGTCCCTAGAAGTATCTCTGAAAACAGCTGTACAAACACCGAAGCTTGGGACAGTACATTCTCCACATTGGAAACAGACTCTTACCTTAACAAAGAGTTTAAAACTCAAGTAATTGGTTGGGATCATAAGCAAGCAGTGCAGAAAGAGTCAGACCATATTATCTTACTTTGGTGACAAAGAAGATCAAAACATACAACCAGAAGAAGAAAACAAAGTCAAAGCTTCTACATCCAAAACTTCCAAGAAAAATATGAATCAGTCCCAGGCCTTGGAAGAGCTCAAAAGGGATTTTGAGAAGCAAGTAAGAGAAGTAGAGGAAAAACTGGGAAGAGAAATGAGAGTGATGCAAGAAAATCATGAAAAGCAAGTTAACAGCTTGCTAAAGGAGACCCAAAAAAATACTGAAGAAAATAACACCTTAAAAAATAGCCTAATCCAAATGGCAAAAGAGGTCCAAAAAGCCAATGAAGAGAAGAATGCCCTACAGAGCAAAATTGGACAAATGGAAAAGGAAGTCCAAAAGATTACTGAAGAAAATCCTTCCCTAAAAATTAGAATAGAGCAACTGGAAGATAGAGACTTTATGAGAAATAAAGACACTGTAAAACAAATCCAAAAGAATGAAAAATTAGAAAACAATGTGAAATATCTCACTGGAAAAACAACTGACCCGGAAAATAGATCCAGGAGAGAGAATTTAAAAATTATTGGACTATCTGAAAGCCATGATCAAAAAAAAAGCCTAGACATCATCTTTCAAGAAATGATCAAGGAAAACTGTCCTGAAATTTTAGAACCAGAGGGCAAAACAGAAATTGAAAGAATCCACAGATCTCCTCCTGAAAGAGATCCCCAAAGGAAAACTCCTAGGAATATTGTAGCCAAATTCCAGAGCTCCCAGGTCAAGGAGAAAATATTACAAGCAGCCAGAAAGAAACAATTCAAGTATTGTGGAAACACGATCAGGATAACACAAGATTTAGCAGCTTCTACATTAAGGGACCACAGGGCATGGAATATAATATTCCGGAGGGCAAAGGACATAGGATTACAACCAAGAATCACCTACCCAGCAAAACTGAGTATAATTCTTCAGGGGGAAAAATGGTCATTCAGTGAAATAGAGGACTTTCAAGCATTCCTGATGAAAACACCAGAGCTGAATAGAAAATCTGACTTTCCAATACAATACTCAAGTGGAACATGAAGAGGTAAACAGGAAAGAGAAATCATAAGAGACTTATTATGGTTGAACTGTTTACATTCCTGCATGGAAAGATGATATCTATAACTCATGAGACCTATGTCAGCATTAGGGTAGTTGGAGGGAAGAAATTATATGTATGTATGTATATAGACAGATAGACAGACAGACAGATAGATAGACAGAGGGCACAGGGTGAGTTGAAGATGAAAGTGTCATATCTGGAAAATAAAATTAAGGGGTGAGAGAGGATTATACTAGGAGAAGGAGAAAGGGAAAGGTAGAATGGGGTAAACTGTCTCACAAAAAAAAAAAAACAGAAAAGAAAAGGCTCTTACAGCAGAGGGGAAACGGGGAAGGTGAGAGGCAATGAGTGAATCTTATTCTCATAGGATTTGACTTAAGGAGGGAATAACATATACAATGGAGTATGGAAATCTATCTTACCCTACAGGAAAATAGGAGGGGAAGGGGACAAGAGAGTCGGGGGATGAGAGAGAGGAGGGCAGACTGGGAAAGGGGGTAATCAGAAGCAAATACTTCTGAGGAAGGACAGGGTCAAAAGAAAGAATAGAATAAATGGGGGGGCGGGATAGGGTTAAGGGAAATAGAGTTAGTTTTTCACAGCATGTCTACTATGGAAGTGTTTTGCACGACTACACATCTATAACCTGTATCCAGATGCTTGCCTTTTCAATGAGGGTGGGTGGGGAGGGAGGAAGGGAGAAAATTTGGAACCCAAAGTTTTAAAAACACATGTTTAAAAAAAATGTTTTTACATGCAACTGGGAAATAAGAAATACAGGAAATGGGGTACAGAAATCTATCCTGCCCTACAGGAAAATAGAAGGGGAAGGGGGGGGAAAGATAGCAGGGAAAGCAGACTAGGGGAAGGGGTATTCAGAATGCATGCCATCTTGGGGTGGGGGGAGGGGCAAGATGGGGTAAAAATTTGGAACTCAAAATCTTGTGGAAGTAAATGTTGAAAACTAAAAAAAAAATGGACTAAACTGACAATTTTAGTTCAAAATCTATGATTGTATGACGATACAGAGAGAATAAAAAAGAGGTCTTTAAAAAAATTTTTTTAAATTAAAAAAAAAAAAAGAAGAAAGTCACCATATACTCCAAAATATTTATAGCAGCACATTTTGTGATGGCTGAGAATTGAAAACAAAGTGGATGCCCATTAATTGGGAAATGGCTAAACAAATGTGGTAAAATGAATGTAATGTAATATCACTGTGCTGTAAAAAATTATGTGTGATGAATACAGAGAAGTACAGAAAGATATACATGAACTACAGCAGACTGAAGCAAGCAGAGGCAAGAAAACAATATACACAATGACTACAACAATGGAAACAGAAATATCTACACACCAAAAAAAATCAAAAGTAAATGTAACAAAATTATAAAGATCAAGGACTAGAATGAAAAGATATGAGAAGACGTCCTAAATTCACACCTTTATGAAGGTGGGAGGCCCACAGGTATTAAATATTGCATATGTTTTCAGACTTTTTCAATTATTGATTAGTTGTGCTCTCTAAAATATTCTACTTGTTATATGCTTGTTATATGAGACGGCTCTTTGGGAGACAAGAGGGGAAGGATACTTGGATACCTATGATGATGTAAGAAACAGAAAATAGCAATAAAACTTATTTTTAAAAATAAAAATAAATTTTAAAAAGAAGACATGGCAGCTAAGGGCAGCACTAGCACAGAGTACAAGTTCATCTGCAAAACATTCAGATGAAGAATGATTGAATATTAAAAGTAATTATGCTTCATAAAAAAGAAAGAAGCAGAGGACGGGGAAATACTTTGGAATGCTAGACTAAATTATCCAGACAGCATTTATGGATGAAAATTGAAAGGAAAACAACAAATAGAAGTGAAATGAAATTAGTATTTCAACAGCAATCAATTCCCATCACACATAACAGTAGAGCTGCCACAAAAGAACTCTACTCTCATTATCCAACACGCCACATGAGTGCATAGAAAGTCACTTAAGAAGATCAAATTGGGAAGGGTGGCTAGGTCAGAAAACACAAAAGAAATCACATACTGGAGGTGACATAGGATTATTGGATTTAGGTCTAGAAGGGCACTTAAAAAGCCAGTGAGTTCCCACTTCCTCATTTTACACATGAAGAAATTGAGGTCTTAGAGAGTTGAAGGGACCTGATCAAAGTTACACAGGTAGCAAGTAGCAAAGCTAGGACTTAATTCAGTGGTTTTTTTCCAGTGTTATCATGCCACCTCCCCTTCCTCAGAGGTTAAATTTTGAAAGAAAATATCCCATATGATATTAACACAAAAGGACAAGCATAAAAATATCAATTTATGACCCATATGCCTACTTTCTCATCTCT